AGCAGTCCTGCAGTGCGTTTGTGTTGTCATAGTCATCACAGAGGCAAAGTTCAGGCTGCAAACTGAATTTTTTATTTTGTATTTAGGGCTTGATGGTCTTCGCTTTGTGTATGAAGCACTATCGCATCATGTACTTGGTCATTGCTGATAATACTCTCCAGAAACCCCGAAGTGTGGAGAGGCTGTGGGGTCACTAGGGAATGTTTGGTTTTCCCTTGTTACTGTCAGTTATTCCTGCTATCTCAATAAATTTAAAAAAGAGTTGAGTTGTCTTTTGACCACAATACAAATGTAAGTTTTAAGGTAAATTAATAACTTTCACTTAGCTGAAACTATAATATTGTCCAGGGCCTCTAAAATATCCATAAAAGCACTAAAGTACCCTGGAAGCAGTTGCCTGGCTAATGTTTCTTGCTTGTTAGAAAGCGCATATGTTACTTAACCTCTTGCATATTTATCTAAGACTGGAAGAACACCAACTTCAGTAGTACCTGTGCAGCTCTTTTAAAAGCATCCATATAAACCCAGGCTGTCCCCTGTACTGCAGGTGCAGGTATAAGTTTTAGAGGAGCATCAACGCCTTTAAAACTGCAGTGGTTTCCGTGAGCAGTAAGTTTATGCCCACTTTGGAAGCCTGTTATACTGCTGGAGTGCTTTAGAGAAATACAGGTTGGGAAGAGAATCAGGCCCTTAATCTTCCCATTAAGTGAGCGTGGCTGTTGCAGCTGTCTCTGTCTGCAGAGCACTGGCAGAGTCAGTGTAACTTGTGTGGTGTAACTTTGGGGCAGAGTTTGACAAGCATTTCTGCAGCAATGCTGCATCTGATGCTGCCTGCCCTGGTGTTCTCACTTCTCCTGCCACAACTGTTCATGTGGCAGTTGAGTGGTTTAGGTCAGAAAACACGATTCAGGTGAAAAATAATCAGGGGTGAAACTTTTTTTTCCTTTTTTTCTTCATACTGATCTACTCTCGGATGTAGTGTGTTGCATAGTTTTGGCAAGGTAAGGGAAGCTGTGAGGGACAGAAACAAGATGTGAGTTAGGCTGGCACTGCCTCTGAAAGGACAGTTGTTGAACTAGAGCCCTAAAAGCAAATGGAGTAAGATTCCCTCAAGTCATAAAAATGATGGTAATTTTTTGAGTTTTATTTCCCATAATCTCTGGTATCATCCAGACTGAACTGCAGTCAGCCCTCCTCCTGCTTTACTCAACACTGGGAAGTCACTTGAGTAAACTGATGATGTGAGGTGTAAAATAGGGTTGAGTGACTATAAATGTTATCCATACACTGAAGTCTGGAGCTCTCCTCTCCTAAAACCTCTGCTAGATCTTGATGAGGTGGCTTGGGATTTTGGCAGCCAGTGTGTGTGAAGCAGATGAAGGAAGGGAAGTCATATATCTGAATGATCTGACTGTGCAAACAAATTTTGTGGAAGAAAGCATGTAACTTCATCTTTACTTCATGAAAACGCACCCTACTGGAGTACAATACTCAGTGTAGCTGCTCTTTCTGTAGCTTGAGTTCCATGTGGTCCTTCCGTGTGATACCCCTAGAAGATATTTGTGATAGGTACCAGAGTGGGTGAGCTTGTTCCCTTTTTGATGGTTTTGGTGGGCCTGTTGCCTTTCCTGCTGTGACCTTGAAGGGACTGGGTTGTTAGGACAGTGTATTTGCTTAACGACAGATTTGTGAGTCCTTATAGAGTGGGACAGGAATTGGCTGGAAATGATGGAGGCAGCTCTTAAGGGCAGTGTACAGAGTCCAAGAAGACAAACTTTCCACTCTGTCTGTGACTGGCCGCTATACCACATAAATAAGGATACCCCACACCTACCAGAGGGACAGCAGTATCAGTCCTCACAGCCAAAGGAGGAATTTCTAAAAGTGGGTGTCCACCTCACAGTAGTCAGAAGATTGAATTATTCATAGGTACAAAGCCTGCAGCTGTGTGTCATGTTCATTTTAGCACTGAGTTGAAGTTTTCTTGACCTATGTTCAGTGTAATTAAAAACAAATCCCTCAAATCCAAGAACTGTTTGGAAAGGATTCTGTAATGCTAGGGCAGTGTGTATAGACATGTTCTCACGCCTGCCCTGATTGTATGTATTTGGTCATAGGAGCTGCTGGACTCCAGCAATTCTATTGATTTGTCACAGTCTACAAATCCTGGAGTTTCTTAACACCATGAGGAGTAGAAATGACTTAAAGAAAATATTTGTATGTATTTACAGTGAATGCACCATGCACAATTTTTTACATTTATATTAAAATAAATTGAGATGCGTTTTGCTTTATTTACACTATTTTCAGTCTATTTTCCTCTTGCCTGAATGAAACCCTTTTGATGCTCTTGCTTGTCTGGCTGGCTGTAAACCAGGTATTTAAACAAAAATAAAGAGTTGCCAGTTTTGCCAGCTGGGGATGAGAACCCGGCTGGTGATATGCGGGTTCGGGAGGCAGTTAATCCAGCTTTTATGCTTTTTTATGATTTTATGTAAAAAGAGGTTAAAAATCACATTTGGCTCTTTCTTTGTACCACTGTTTTGTTGCTGTTGTGGGAATGCAGCAAAAGGTTGCTCATACTTTTTATTATTATTAGGTGAAGTCCTGCATAAATTAGGTAAAGCCCCAGATACAGTTTGCTTTAGCTATTGGCCATGTGATTTGCCTTGTTCAGAGGATGGTACGTTTTATCCTCCCATTGCCTTCTTTTATGAATCACACATGCAAACCACACCTCGACTTGCTTGTAAGAAGAACCTACCACTGCCTCCCAATTTTAATAGATTTTACTAGCTGCTAAAGAAGAGTAGCTAACTGCACAGAAAGGAGAAATAGTAACAGTGCTAATAGATATAATAGAAAAATGTCTCATGCTTTTATTCTGTGGCAGAAGAAACACTGATTTAAAGACAAGCATCACAGATTTCATATACAGTTTTTCAGCAAATAGCCTGCAATATGCTCAAACTCATAAAACATTTAATTAATTTTAAAATGCAGGAGTTATTTTAGTTAGTTTTGTCATATGTCCTTATCCAGATAATTTGTTGTATTTTACACTTTCCAAAATTTCACCCTCTATTTGGAAATACCAATGATGTAATGAGTCCGTGTGTTTTGCAACAGTTGTAAATAGTATGTGTTAATGTGTTAATATTTATGATTTTTATAATCTTATATACACAAGAGGGATTTTTAATACACTTCTTTTCATCATGTTTCTACTGCCAATCCTTAAGGACAGTGAAAACTAGGAATCTGAATGCATTAATTACTGTGGGATTGTCAAAATTGCCATAATGGATCAGACTGCATTTTGTTGCTGCTAATAGCATGGACCACATACTTCAGAGCAGGCTTGGATTTGCAGGGAAGAAAAAGGAGAGGCAGATAAATGAGCTCGACACCCCTCATTAGGGCTGGCTAGGGAAGTACATGTGTCTAGGATGTGGTCACGGCCACTTAGTGTCCTCAGGCAGGTGAGGACTGTCTGCCCTTGCTTTGGAGGAAATTACTGGAAGTCATCTTGCACGTTTTAGACAATCACAAGTTAATGTACTCACGGAAAAAAGGTTGTTTCTGATCTGTAAGAGGTTGCCTTATTCATTAAAGCTGGAAGACTTTAGTACACATTACCAGATTTTCACTACTGTATATCTAAATGACTTTTCCTGTGTATCTATTTGCAGTTTGAATCTAGGTGAGCTCTTTGTGGTGGTAATTGCACGTGTTGCTGTGTTGTAAAAAGCATTTTGTTTTCTGTGGATTAGTTTTTTGGTTCTTTTTTCAAATCAGTCATAGGTGCTGCTTTTCAGAATCTGCCTTTTAATGATACAGAAACAATTATTTATAAAGAATCATTTAATTCTTTATAAATGTAGTCCAACTCAGTTGCATTTCTTTGATCTTTCTAACTGCTTATTATTTAAGTCTCATTTATTTTTTTAAGGTTTTTGTGTGTTTAATAGATGCAAATATTGGCAGTTTGTCACGTACAGTTGTAGTGCCTTCTGTATTACTATTTATTAACTTCCAACTGTTGCATCTTTTTTGAATGAAAGGGTATGATCGTCTACAAATTAACAGAAATTAGAATTATATATGTATATATTCAGTAGCCTTCAGCTTCCTTACTGGTTATGGTTTCATTATGGGTGTATGCTGCTGTTATATTGTCTCTATTTCCACAATTTAGTACAAAGGTGTATTAAGGTCAAGACACACTGCTTAGATTCCTTACTCCAATTCTCTGGAGCTGCTGTGAGAAGGGCTGTGGAGTAGGTTGTTTTTATGTACACAACATTGGTGGTATTATGTTAACAAATTATATAAACGTTTCTTATTTCTGTGATCATATCATATGTAAGCATAGCATCATTGTAAACATAGTATCATGTAAATACTGTCATATTTCTTTTCATTAGCACAGTTCAGATGTTTGGACCTCTTCATGGAACATAATGACACTGTCAGGAGCAACACATTGAGGACTTTTAATATAAACAAAGATCATAAAGAAGCTAAGCTTGTCTTAGTAAGATTAAGGTGTTTCTAAATTTGAAGCTTTACTCTTACAGGTGGGGTAAGGAGAGAGGAAGTGACTGAGCAAGGAGATGCTTTACTTCTTCTCCCAGAAGAATGCTAACCGAGGCAGTAGTGCCGGTAGATAGTGTCTCTTCTGGAAGCTCTGTACAGTATAAATGGGATGGTAGAGGACATTAGGAAAGGGGAAAATGCAGTCATGATTATTTTGGGCAGGTCATGCTCAATTTTTTATTTTGCTTTTAGCAGTACAGTCCCTGGTATGCTTGGAATTTCAGTGAGCTCAGGTGTGTGAGTCAGTACTGCAGTTGCAAGTATTGAACCAGGTTCTGGGAGTCCTTGTAGCACACTGTGAAAACAGTCTTGGAAACACATTCACATAGAGGTGCATCAGATAGACTGAAATGATCATGTCTGAAACAGTGCCTGACAGCTGGTTTTGGTTTCTGTCTTAGGTGTTAGAAGATAATGACTATGGTCGTGCAGTGGACTGGTGGGGATTAGGAGTTGTCATGTATGAAATGATGTGTGGAAGATTACCGTTCTACAACCAAGATCATGAGAAACTATTTGAACTGATACTAATGGAGGACATAAAATTTCCTCGAACTCTGTCTGCAGATGCAAAATCATTACTATCAGGCCTACTGATAAAGGATCCAAATAAGCGGTAAGTGAAATTACTTGGGTATGTAGGCATAATAAATACTCCAGTTATACTGGATAATGTAAAAATAGGCCTATGGTGCCTGGCCTTCCTGCCTGAAGGACCTCTCGGTCACAGGGAGGAGCCATATGCAGCCATACAGTCTCAGATTTCTACTTTTTCAATACAGCAACAATATACAAAGTGAGTTTAACAGGCAAAATGGGAAAAAGCACGTGGAAGAGAACACTTTAAATCATTCACAGCAAACATGGGGATCTTTTCAGGTTTACATTGTGTACTGGAACAAAGGGAAAGCTTTTCAGAGTATGACTTAACCCTGGGTTGGCTGCAGTGTCTCATGGGGACTACAGCACTTTTTTCTTGGAAGTGATCATTCCAGAAGACATGTACAGACAGCCGCTGATACGCTGTATTAGAGCACATAAATAAATCACATATTAGGCCGTGTAAACTAGTTACTTGTTAAAGAATACATCATCTGAGTGAAATTCAAATTCAGTGGTTTGAAAGCAAGTATCACCAGGCTGCTGCCCGTGTCCTTTTGTGGTGGGCTTTTCCCTCTGGGGTTATTGCCTAGGAGAGCCATTTTCCAGTGGCTCCTGCACCAGACCAGCAGTGTCCAGTCCCCTGTAGTTCTAAAACAAATCTCTGTCTTTGTAAATCAGTGAGATTTGTCTGTAGGTACCCACTTTTCCCCAATCTTTGTTGTTCTTGTGAGTCTCTTGGCATATTTTAAGGCTGAGGGCATTCTTCTGTTTGTCTGTCTTTAGTCCTCCTTCATTCTCAGTTTATTCTCAAGAAGGCTTCAATAGTGGGCACGGCTCGCTGGTGCTCAGGGCAGGACTGGTTGCTGTGTCTCTCTGAGGGATATGCCTGCACACAGCCACGTGCAACAGCCAAGACAACACGGTCAGCCCTTCTGCTGCTGCCCAGCAGTGCCCGTTTAACTGAATTTACTATATGGAGGAAAAGCAAACTGTGACCAATCAGCCAAATACATAGAGAGTAAAGTACAAATTTGTTCCTGTAGCAACTCCCAAGGCATTTTAACCTCCAAACATTCTGACCCATCAAAGATATTAACCTTTAGAATTGAAAAGATACTTCCATGTAATTAATCTTTGCAGACAGTGGTGTTTATTGTGGACTTACATTTACAAGCTTATTCATATTCAAGTTCTGGTGCTAGCTAATGCTGAATAGGGTGGGAGCACAGAGGTTAACTGCGACTCAGCTTTTCTCTGAGCAGCTGGATGGGAAGATATTGAGAGAAGTCTGGAGACTGCAGGCTAACTGGGATGCTTTGCAGAGACATAGAGAATTTTACAATGGGTAGTTGAGAAACAAAGAGGAATACCACTTGGAAACAAGAATAACTTTACACCCAGTTACTGTGAGACTGAGGTAGTAGTCCAGAATATTTTTGTAGTTTGGCGCCAGGGTAATATCAATACAGATTGTTTTTTTTTAGTTGGTTGTGGGGATTACTGTTCATTGCAATAAATGCTTTAGAGAGGAATTTATCTTACTTAAATGCTTTCTTTTTAAAATTGGTCTTTATATGTTTAGCGGTTCCTCTTAATGAAACACAAACTGTTTGTGTCACTCTTCTTGTCAGTGTTTAACATGTATGGGCTGCTTGTTCAGTTAAGATTAGATTTTTTTTTCTGTTTCAACTACTTTCTATTAGACCAGTAGATAGCCAGTCTCAGGAAGCAGTTAGGTGAGAGCTGATCAGTTTTGACAGTCCATGTGCTGTTGAAATGGTCAGAAGTTCCCTTCATGGGATGTGTGCTTCTTTCCACACCACCCGCAGCAGTTCAAGGGAGATCACTAAGCTTGTTGAGTCAAATTTGACTTGCTAATGCAACAAAAACTGGCCAGTTCTGTCTTGTTTTTTCATTGTGGGGTTAATTTCCTTACAGGTTAGTGAGCTGACTCAGCTGAGTCATCAGTGGGAATGATGCTGTAGAGCAAGAGAGGGGGGAGATGTATGGGCAGGGGTGGGACCCTCCTCTTTTGGCGTCAGAGACCACTTCCGTGAGCTCAAATTACCTTAGGCAAGTTCACCCAAAGTAGGTGGAATTCACTTCCTAAGCTGATTTACCAGACAGAGTCTGTCTTTGGCAAGCCATGGGCCACAGTGAATAGTGTGGTTATTTACAATGGCCTTTAAATAACCTTCTCAGCAGGCCTACAATTTATTAATTTATACTAATTGACTCAGATTGAGACTATTTTATGGTAATTGGTTAATTGTTACAGCACCCAGATGCAACAGCAGTGAACACTATATAAAAATGATGTGTGAGTCATTACTGATTCAGTGCCTGGCACCTCTTTGGCAAAATTTTATGTCAGCGTTGTTGGGTTGGTTGTGGTTTTTAATAGTGCCAGAATGTTAGTTGGTCTTTCAAGAAAACTAAACTTAAGTGTGTTTTTAAAATGAATGAATTATTTAAAAAGCTCATCATGGACAGTAATAAACAGTGTAGTTGGAATAATCAAATAGAATAGACCATGGCATGGATACTTCTACTATCGCATTTTCTCTCCAGATCACTTGAATTTATATTAAACAGGTGAGAATTACATATTAAATGGGTGAGAATTGTTCCCAGATAGTAAAAAACAAACGGTCACTTTCCAACTATTACAATAACTTACGAAGAGTTACACTTGTTTAATATGATTTTTTTTTCCACACTCTTTAGACTCGGTGGAGGCCCAGATGATGCAAAAGAAATCATGCGTCATAGTTTCTTTGCTGGAGTAAACTGGCAAGATGTATATGATAAAAAGGTATGTTTTTATATGGCACTGAATAATCTGCCTTCTGCAAGCTGGTTTCAACTGATAGTTGTAGGACTGCAGCTCTCTGAAGTTAGTCGTGTTTTTCTTTCCAACTTTTTGTGTTAATACAAAAGAATAATTATTCTGAACTAAGTGTACTTACTTAGACTTTTGGTTTTCAGTAATAATTAGTCAGCAGACCAAAAATAAATTTTGCAAACCAACCTAAACTCAGCAAAGATTTTTCATTTATTATGTAAATGTCCAAATCTTTTCCTTTCCTTTTTTCTTCCTGGGTCTTCAGGAGAAAATTAGGTGTATGACTCAAGATAATGTGAGAAAATGGAATGCAAGTTTATCCTGAATTGTCTTTTTATTTCTTCCTTTTATTGAAAAGTTGTCTTATGGAAATAAGAAAATGAAGTGATTGGAAGGGACTCATAGCAAAAATCTGCTTTCTGATTGTTTGTGTTTAAGTAGAAATCTTTTTCAAACTTATTTTTAAAGAGATATCTAAGAAAATTAAAATAGCATTAAAACACTGAGCCAAAACAGCTTGTGGAGAAAGCGAGTACTGGGAATTCAATTGGAACAGTTTTCTCTAAACCCAGTCCTGTTCCTGTAATGATCAACACTTTGGGGATGATTTTAGAAAATGAATTTATCTTACTCAGTAGTGAAACTCAATTTGACTTAAGTTGTTTTATATACAGAAGCTGGTTTTTATCTCAGTACTTGTGTAAGAATTTACTTGTTGCTATAAACCCCTTCTATTTTGATAAAGTCTTTTTTTTTCCCCCCAACTGTTTTACATTGTTAATCTGCCAGTTGAGCTGCGTAATTTTAAAAGATAGATTTTTCCTCCTCTTTTTGCTTTGTTCAGATAAAAGGAAAATGAAAGACATACGTATGAGCAGAATATGTTTATGCTATAATGTCAATGATACAAACTGTTTTTTCAGTTGTTGTTGAACTGGAATTTTAAAAATGTGTGGTTGTTGGTGTGGTACTTCTCTGACAAATACCGGAATTGAGATAAGAGCCTGTATATGATGATACAAAATATGGTACTCTGAAGTTACTTGATACAAGTGTGATTTTTTTTCCCTGGCAGTATCATGGGATTTCAAGAAACTCTAAAATAAATAATCAGAGCAAGTATATTAATCAGGTTACTTTATGAGCTCAACCATTGGTTGGTTATGTAAGGACACTGTAAAGAAGTACTTTAAGGATAAAATCTAAAAATACAAGTTGAGGACCTTTCGGGAGTTTAAAAAAACCCACTAAAATCAATTGGATTGCAATGTGCTAGGAGTGGGTGAGAACAAAAAAGCTGTTACATTACTCTTGCTCTGATGAAAAAGATTTCTTAATTATTTTACATTAGAAATAGAACTCTCAATTCTACACTGCTCAACATAGTATTTAGTTAAGAAAATACAGATGCTCTTAATTTTTAAACATGTGCTTTGAGTCTTTCAAAACCAACGTGGCAAATGTCTTTCAGTCACAATCTTATTCTGATCTGTTAAAATAAAGGATGGTATTTTGCAGGTATAAATATATATAAAAATTATAAAACATATATATAATAGATATATAAAAATATATAAAAGCAGGTATTTTGCTTTTATGCTTGTGGAGGTGGATATGGCTTATTGGAGTATTATAACTGGAGAAACTGTAGTCAGTCATTGTTTACTCTGTCCACTGTTGCCTTGAGAAACTAAATTTGCCAGTAAAAAATCAATTGAACAGTTAACTTCAAGGATCATAGGATTTGCTTTTGTGCACTATTGGCACACAATGTGCTCTTTATGGAAAAACAACTCATGAAAGTGACTTCTGAAAGTATGTCTTTCAGTTTAATTAAAAAATAGTTTCATTCCTATTACAAAGCCATTTGTCTGGTTGGTTAAAATATCCAGTTGTTCCTTCTGCACTCACAGTCTTATCAATTCTGAAGTTTGCAGAGTATAAGACTGTGTTCTGAAATAAAAACTTCAAATATAATAGTAAGGTTAATGAACTTTCACTGAGTGTATTTATTAGGATGCTTATATGAATATTTTTTAGGTTTTGGTATTCTAAATAACTCAGGAGGAATGTGCATCAAACAAATTTGATTTTCAAATAGATTTATTCTATGCTTGCTTCTGCTGCTGCTTGTTATTATTAGTGTAGTCTTAAGCAGTAGGGTCACTTGGTGAAATTGATAGTTGATATAATTATTTGCATAGTAAAAATATTTCACAGTATTCTTGCCTGAGGTTTATGCACCATGAAACTATAATTTTCTGGCTACGTTTCAGGAGTGTGTTTCTGCTAGCAGTGAAAGAACCGAAGTTCACATTCAGAGTAATGGAAACCAAAAAATCATGTGTATTCCAAGTAGTTGCTGGGGGATAGTTTTGTACACGTGCACACTGTGCTTCTGTGACGTTGATTTTGTCATTTTTACTAGAGATTAAGTGCATCTCTGTACTTACTAGGTTATCACTTTACTGGCGTGATTAGACACAGAATTATGTATCTGTAAACTTAGAGTATTTCATGCAACAAACAGTAGCTCTGTCAGGTCAAATGGATCCAAATGGTCAAATAGAATTATTAGCTCTCTGACAGTGCTAACTAGTTAAACTAATTTGGTACTACACAATGATAATAAAGTGTTGCATGGCACACTGGAGCAGAGAAGGTCGTTGCCTTTAAATGAAAAATGTATAGTAGTTAACATTTGTGATCAGATGAATTTATTTTTGGCAGAAAAACCAGGAGGGCATATGAAAGAGGGCAGCCTGTGCCAGGTTCTTCCTGTGATCATCTCAGCCCTGATGAGTTTTTATCTCTGTGCCTGAGTATGAGAAATTGAATAGTTTGGCAAACTCTGAAGACTTCAAAAGCCCTTATACTTCCAGATAAAATATTTGTTTTATTTTTAGCTAGAATCAGGAAGCTTTTTGAAATTTCTCTGTTACTCATTTAAGAATTGTCTCCATGTATTTTTATTTGGGTTGCAGAAATATACTTGTCAGTTGTTTTGTCTGGGGTCTTTCACTGAACAAAGACCACATGGGCATTAATTTGAAGGTGGGAATTTGTGTATGTCTTCAGGCTTGCAGCTTGAAGCCCTCAGGTAGCCTCATGGCAAAGGAGATACAGACCTTTTAGCAAAGCCTGGGGTTTCCTCCTGCATGTAGCATGTATGAAGGAAAAAAGAAACCGTACAGGAATTTGGGCTGACATACATGTATTTCCTTCTGATTTGTGGTAATACCTCTGATTGTTCATGGGGCACCTTAGGGAGCGCTTACAGATTTACGGGTGCTGGGAGGGGAGCGGGGGCGAGTGGCTGTAGTGGTTAAAGCTGGGGTGTCACTTTGCTGCGGGGGCAGCACTTGCGAAGGCACCTACCTTAGTGCGGAGGCAGGGACTGTCAGCATGCAGTCTGAGGGCTGCAAGAAGCTGTTCCTTACCCCTCAGCTGTGACTGCCGTTGCTTTACTGAAGACACAGCAGCAGCAGATGATGAAATCCCATGATTGAAGCCCTGGGTTCAGGCCTGGCAAAATCTGCAGTGTAGCTATAAACCTAAATGCATGTTTAAGTACTTGCATGTATCAGATTTTAAGGGAAAGGGCAGGAGGGAAATAGGAAGATACCAACATCTGGTTTTAGGCCATTGCTGTTTGAGTTGTACTATTTTTGCACAATTATCTGCAGTGCAACAAAGCCTGTAGAAATGATCCTTGTTACTTGCTTTTGTGTTGTTACCATGCAAAGTAGCAAAGACCAGAAAACTGCTAACCAGCCTGATTTTTAACTTGTGTTTCCAGTGATACTTTCAACTATGTGGGGAGATCTAGTGGTTGATTAGCACCCCTTCCCCCAGCTGCTTGAATTTACAGGGAGGAAAATATACATCGGGGTGTCTGACTCTCAAATTGTTGCTGTACTCCAGGGGGGTTGTGGTTTCTCTCTGTCTCTTGTATCAGCAACGTATCACTTGGAAAACAAAGATGAAGGCTTACTGACTGGCTTGAAGCTCTGCTCAACTTGTCTTTCCCCCAGTGGAAATTCTAGTTTGGGCGAGGAGGATGGACAGGGATGTCTCTCTTCTATTCAGTAAACTAGATTAAGTCATTCGGTGGGAAGTGTCTGTGTTCCTAGTCTTTTTTCCATCATTGTGCGTTTGCCCAGCCATTCGAAATTGATTAGGGAGGGACATACAAACTGACAGAGTGCATAATCTCATCAGCTCCTGTTTCCTTTGGTAACTGAGCTAATATCAGAAAAAGGACAGAAAATTATTGTTAGGAAAGGAAAACTGGTATTTTAAATGACTTATAAATTTTTAATTAAAGTACTGTTGTTGGTGATGTAATGTTGAAAGACTGAACTAAGGTTTTGTGCTGTTAGTATCACTGCGTGATTTTTAGGGTCACTAAGCATTTGCTTTGACACGAGCTTATAAGATGTATACATGAGGGAACACCTATTAACAGATACACATCAGAAAAATACAAATTTTTGAGACAAGCTTTGCTAGTGTTGTTTTAAAATGTTTTATTGTGGTATTTTGAAGTTAATGAATTTCAATTTATGTGCAAATAGACTGCTTACTTGGGATGTCATTTAGTAAGATAGCTAGCTTGTAATGTAAATACTTGTTTTGTTTTGTTTTGTTTTTTTGAGAAATCTGTGAATGGTGACATGTTTTCAGCACTTCCAGATGAGCGTGCTTGTGATGAAATATAAAGGTATATTTCAGTGATGTGGCCCCATTCTCTTCTCAAAGTATGATTTTTTTTTTTTTTTTCCCCCCACTGTTCTGATTTGGTTAATCTGTCCCTTCTGTTTGATTCTTGAAAATAACAACTTTGTAGTTTTGGTTTTCCAGGAAAGTTTAAGGTAGATGAAGTTTGATTTCTGGACATCGAATCACGAACACTTAACTACCAATTAACTTTCATAGTCAAAAGAACTGTAACATTTGACACAGTTTTT